GAGAGGGGGGGGGGGGGGGTGGGGGGGGGGGGGGGAGGAAAAGGGGAGGGGGCGGGGGGGAAGAGACAGAAATCTTTAATAAATAAATAAATAAATAAATAAATAAATAAATAAATAAATAAATAAAAATTAAAAAAAAAATCTAAGAGCTTAGACACCAGGCCGTGTCTAGCCCTCATTGAATAGGAAGCAAACAAGTATGTGACAGAGAAATGGGAAAGAAAGAGAAGTGGAGTCGTTTGGGCACTATGAAGAACTGGAGGTGTAATGGAGGTGAAGAACAACCTAATGTGAGAGGCCTGAGCTACCCACCTGAGGCCGTGATGATGTGAGGGTCTATGTTGCCGTTAAGGGCCTTATCTGGGTCTGTGGTCATATTTGCAGCCAGGATCTATGTCAGTATTCATAGTCTGTTACTACCAAAGGCTATAAGGATGTCCTCGGTCTGTACTACAGCCTGAGGCCATGTTGATGTCCAAAGGCTGCACTAGCTGGCCCTAACCCTTGCCTGGGTGGAATGGAAAAGTTGGCCCTGATGGTATAGGGACAGCACAGCAAGCCCCAATGGTGTGAACACGGGAGACCTGGACGGCTGGCCAACTCAGCTACTATCTAGACCCAGACAAGATTTTTAGTTGGCCCACCCCAATATCTTCCCCATCTATGAGTTGCTGCTGAAGCATATGAAAGAGTCAATCCTTTGGACCCATTGCCACAGGATCGCCACAACTCAGGGCACAGTTAATAGAGAGTCTCAATGCAGGTCTAGTATTGATCGTGTAGCAAAGGCCAGAGGTCTTGAAATTGACTAATGCCTCATTGCAATAAACATTCACAAGAAAAGCTGTTTAAGCAGAAGGGTATACTGCATGACACATCTCTGTGATAGCACATATATGATGGAAAAGCAGTAAAGACGGCAGAGTGGACTGGGACATGAACAGAATGCTGTGGTTGAGAAAGGAGCAGCTTGTTGCCCAGAGAGGTCAGATAGAAGGGTTTTTGGGTTTTGATGTTGTTTTTGAGTTTGTTTTTTCTTTTCTTTTCTAATTTTTCTTAATTTTTTATTTTCTTGGGGGGGTATACAAGGGTAGAGGGTGGATATTTAAAGACTAGGAAATGAGTGGCTTGGGGGTGTATAATGTGAAATTCCCAAAGATTCAATTAAAAGTTACGTTTAAAATAATCTATTTTCAATAAAAGAAACAAATAAATGTAAATAAAGAAGATAAAAACATTTCAAGCAAAGGTAACCATGTTTAAACAAGAACGTAACGATCTAGTTTCTGCTCTTAATCAGGTTTCTCTTGCTTTGACAAAGTGTGGTCTTTTGTGAATTTTACTACTTTTTAATAAAACTGTATTCACAAAAAGAAAATACAAATACACGATTACATTAACTAATGTAACATCAACTTTGGAACACAAATTAAAAAATATTCAGTAGATAGAGAGTTAAAGACTTAATAGGTTTAACTGTAGAATAATCTTTCATTATACAATCACATAAAATTGGGTCAGTGACAGATAAAAACAGTAAGTAACAGCCAGGAAATGCTCACTTATAAACTTTGTTTTACATAATAGTCTTTGTGACTATAATATACTCTGCTATATATTGTTCTGAAGGGACATATTATAAATACATTTAAATATGGGATAATTGTTAAGTTAAAGGTAAAAATTGTGAATTTTTAATAATAGTAAATATCAAATACAGCAATCTATTAATTTTTTGCAAAAATTTAAATAACTTATATATGGTTTTATTTTTTATTTTTAATGCCTGGGCATAACAACACAAGCATAGACTAGTATTTCACCTAGTCTAATATTGTGTTGTTGACATTAACCAATGATGGTGGATGTCGCAGGATAACCTAAACATATAGCATAATGAATATAATTATATACTACTATGTCATTATCTCAGATGATGGTTAGATCATACCCTGGAAGAAATGAAAACAAATCCCAATTTCCCTCTCTCATCTACAGCTTCCCATATGGTGATGGGAAACCTCCAACAAAAGTATAAGCAGAGTATAAGTCAGTGCTTTGGTAACATGACAACTGACCAAGAAATTATCATCTAAAATGAAAAGCTGCACACAGAAATAGAAGCCAAAGTGACCAAAACCTATTATTTGGAAGGGGGATTTCAATGAACTAAAAATAATGATTCACTCCAAAAGAATTACTTATAAAACAGATGTGTAATTCTTAGTTAAAGCTAAAAACAAAACACTACAATTTCTACCAAAGGCCATGCCATTTTGTGACATGCTATACTTTTTTCTAGACAGCTGACAATACTATTTTAAACTCTGCAAAGAAATGGCTTCACACCTGTTTGTAATGGTTTTAAACTAGGGATTAAATTAAATGCTCATCTCAGTGTGTAAAACTACACAATTCAGAAATCTAGTTCACCCTTTAGGAAAGACTATTTCCTAAAATAATTACAGAGAAAAATGTATTGCATTTTTCAGACATTTAGAGAAAATAATTCTCTTGGCAGTATAGATAGGCACTGACTTAACAACCCTTGTACTCAGGAAACAGTTCCTAACTAAATCCTCCATGGTATAATTTGAGTTCATTTTCTATTTCTCTGACCTCAAGTAAACTGGAGAATATCAGATTATACCATAATATCTCATGTATCTAAAACCTCTTATTGTCTTCTTTTCAAAATTACTACAGGTCAATGAACCAAATAGTAGTACAGTCCCAGGTTCAGTTTTATGATTTCTGTTTGATATATATCATAGTTCAAGAAACTGATCTCAAAAAATTACTTACCCATACTTTTTTTTTTTACCAAGGACTGTATCTTTCCCTAATACAATACTCTTCCAAAAATAACCTTTCCCTAATACAATACTCTTCCAAAAATAATCTGCATTTTAGAAATAAACACTAAAAATTCAGGAAAAGTTTATAAAAGATGGGAATGAGGCATAATTAAACTTCAGTAAGCACTATTCCTTCTTTAGAATACAAGATCGTTTAATGAGATGTCTCAAAGCCACTGGGACAGAGCTGTACTGTAGTGTCACAAAATTTGTGTTGCTGTTCTTAACAGTCCACAAACCTCCCAAAAAACCACATGAAGCCAAAATATACACTATCAGTCTTGAACTTACCTTTACAAAAGCAGCAGATAAATTAGTCAGAGCAAGCCTCAAAATAGTTATTGAATAGTAAAGGATATCTTAAAATTACACTGTAATGCCTGAAATGGTGGTTCAATTCACATGTTTGAAAGTTACTTCTTAGACTGCAATATGAACCATATGGTATACTATGAATTTCAGAGATTAAATGTCACTTAAGAAAAAAAAAGTTGTTAGATGGTTACTCATATTCATAATAATTTTCTACTTAAACTCCAAAAATGCTGTTCCCAGACATTGAATATTTTTTTAGGAAAAAAATGATCAACAAATAGTCAAGCACCTTTGTTAAGTCTCTGCTTAGACCACCATAACAAATACCAAAGACCAATGAACAATCAACATTATTTCTTATAACTCCAGGAACTGCTAAGTTCAACATGACAGTACCAGCAGATAATAGTGAGAGTCCTCTTCCTGATTTGATGGTCACCTTTTTTCTGTGTCTTCATTTCACAGAGAAAAAAAATTCTCTCTCTTATGTCTCTTTTTCTTATAAGGGTGCTAATCCCATTTATGAGGGCTCCACTATCATGACCCAGTGAGTAAGTAAAAGTTATATCCCCCACTAACCACCACACACTGGGAACTCAAGTCTCAAAATGTCAAATGGTGGAAAGACACAGTCTACAGAAGCATATAAACTTCACTACACATAAATAAGTAGTATCACCTTACTTTTATTGCCCACCAAAGCAACCAGGGGCTGAGTTTCCGACTCTTCGCTCACAGTCTTCACCACAGAATACCAATCTTCTAAATTCTCAAAACTTTGATAATTTGTAATATCATAGACCAAGAGGATTCCCTGTCAGAAAAGAAGTGCAGAATATTTATAATATACTCTTGAAATAATAACAATACTTCTTAATGTTTCAAATATATCAGGTATACTGTAAAGTATAGTTGTGTTTTTTATATAAAAGACAATTTCAACTTAAATGTATTATTAGTAGAAACAATGTCAAATGATCCCATTCACAATAAACACTGAAACTAAGGTATAGTTTTACAAAAATTTTAAGTAATTTCCCAATATAAGATACCTGAAGAACTCTTAGTAGATTCAAGATAAGAAAATTCTATCACCTCAAAAAAAAAAAAACCTGCAAAGAATAAAACCCCACCTCTCACTTTCACAAGGCAAACATTTAAACTTTTCAATAAGTAACCATCTGCTGCTTCTCCAATTTTAAATGTCTTCAGAAATAAGATTCCATGATACATGATGTCCCTTGATGGGCAATTTTAGCGTTTAACACAATTTTCTTTAAATAAAGTGTGGATTTCCTCTTTTGGTCCTCTGTGCATTTAGAGAACAACTGGAGAGTGTCCTCCTTTTAACAAGCCCTCGTATACTTGAAGACAGTTAAGTAACTTCTTACCAGTCTGCTTTCCAGAGTAAATAAACTCAGTTCCTTAAAGCTGCCTCAAAGGGCCTATTTTCTGTCCCTTTAATCATGCCTGTTGATTCTTCCCAGGACACACTACATAGAGTTTTTTGACATCCTCTTTAAAATGAGCAATGTAAAGCTGGACATGATACTGTAATAAGAGTCCAAGAAAAGCTAAATATAAGAGAGGGGTTACTTTCTGCTTCTTACATATTATATTCCTTTATAATTTATCCCATTATATTCCAATATATTCATACATAAAAATAACAAAACCACATACTTGATTTTCATCTAATTTGTAGTAAAACACTTAATATGAAGCTCTGCTTACAGGATAAGTCACTCAAGGCATTCATACCTACTTCTTATGTTAAAATAACTATTTTTGAATCTGCTATGTATCAAACACAGATCTAGATCTTTATACCAATCCCTACAACCTACAGTGATTAGTATTATTATCCTCACTTTGTTGACAGAAAGGTTATAATAACCAAGAGGATCCAGCCAGATAACAAATGGAACCGGGACATCAGTCAAGGACTAAGTGACTAAATGCTTTTGTCTGCAGACTCTATACCATGCACTTTACTGACTGCTAAGGATATGAATGCTGAGCTTCAAGTAATACAGTCTTCCAGGAAAACTACATATATAAACAGGTAAGTATACAACACGGGAGTTCCACTGCAGCTGCTGTCAATGTGACATTACTGAACTAGCATTTCCACCCTACCCATAAACTATAAATGTGAGCAACCTTGGGATCCCAGACAACAGAAATTAGAGCAATTAGTAGATAATTCATTTTGACCACATAATAACTCTTAACATTTTTAGTTTATATAAAAAATTAATCATGAGTGTATTCAACAATTTGCTCCCAAAAACTGTCAAAAATTAAGAGTTGAGTTTCTAAAGCTAGAACAAACTGGCTGTTCTTATGATCTTCTGGTGCTGAGCTTTTATTAAACAACTTTAAGTCACCTATTTATTGTCTTAAGAGTAAATTTCTAGAGACTAGAGAATCGATTCAAGGACTAAGAGCACTGACTCTTCTTCCAGAAAACCTGGGTTCACTTCCCAGCACCCACATGGCAGCTGCCATTGGTCTGTAATGCCAGTTTCAGAGGATCCAACACCCTCTTCTGGCTTCTCAGAGTACTACATGTGGTATACAGATAAAACATATAGGCAAAATGCCCATACATATAACATAATGAATCACACAATTACATTTCTGATGGTCTCTAAGATCCTTCTCAATTTCAATAATCTGTAATTTTAAAGTCAGATATAGTGACTCACAGCTATAATCCCAGAACTAAAAAGACTAAGGCAGATAGATTGTTCTGAGTTTGATAATAGCTTCCACTATACAGTGAACTACAGAGCAAGACCCAGTCTCAAAAAATTTTTAAATAGAATACCTAAGTTTGCTAGGCAAAGTGGCATCCACTTGTAATACCACTACTTGGGAGGCAGAGTAAAAAGAATCAAGAGTTCAAAGCCAGCTTTAGTTACATACTAAATACAAGACCAACCTGGGCTAAATAAGAACTATATAAAACAAAAATATAAATGTTACATAATTTTACACAAAACTGCTTTTCTGATTTATTTTGGTAACAACATCTATTTCTTTCTTCCAAGATTATTTCTGGTCATTAACTAAAATAGTTATTTGAAATAAGAAGTGCAATCTCAATTTCTTGAAGAATATAGCTACAAAACTGAGCTTTAGAGACAGCCAATCCTTACTGACTCTACCTCCCTCTGAAGTGGATGATGGCATTTATTGTTTAATGAAAGAGTCCTACCCTTGGATTTCAGGCCTGGAAACATCATCTACTTAATCTGAACAATTATTTTTCTGTCCCACCTTTAAAACATTTAATAGACCTATATGATCAAGAGAATAAAAATAAACACCAAATAGATCACTGAAAATTAGTAGTTTATATAACTGTACATGATTTTTATTGCTCACTGTGAATCACATTCTCATAGTAATTTTGTGGTACTGTACATTAATTAAATAAAGTCTAGACATAGTGATAACTAATCCTTAAAATACTGGAACCTTTTGACTAATACATGAAAATATTTGCCCAAGATGGAACAACAACTGTGTAAGACAAAACACATATAAGTAGAACATGCATGCCACCATGTACTGATGGCTAGCACAGTGGAGCATGCCCTTAAACCTAGGATTTAAACCTGGGAGGCCTCTATGAAATACTTACATCTCACTCTATAGGAAAGTCGCCAATCCCTACTCTAGACTAATGTATTTTTTTTTCAGATATTATTTTGAATCATTTTAGACTCATAAAAAGCTTCATTCACTAAGGCGGACAATGAGGGCTGCTGAGAAGCCAAGGACAAAGGCACTGGGTTTTGATCCTACTTCATGTTCTGGCTTTGTGGGAGCCTAGCCTGTTTGGATGTTCACCTTCCTAGACCAGGATGGAGGGGGAAGGACTTTGGACTTTCCACAGGGCAGGGAACCCTGACTGCTCTTCAGACTGGAGAGGGAGGGGGAGAGGAGTAGGGGAAGGGGGAGAGGAGTGGGTGGAGGGGGAGAAAAAAGGGAAGCGGGGAGGGAAATGGGAGGCGGGGAGGAGGCAGAAATTTTTTTTTCTCAATTAAAAAAAAAAGCTTCATTCACTAACTTAGCTATACTTCATTCACTAACTTAGCTATCCTTCAACCCAAATATTCTCAACACAATAAAATGTAAAACACTTTTGACATTTACATTTTGATTTTTACATTTATTATTCTGTCTTTATTCTTACCATAATTATTAATGGTGTGACCTTTAGTGTTATACTGAAAAATATGAAAATCTGATATAAAAACAAAACAAAAGAAACTTGAGGAGTATGGGCTTCTAATACATAAAGAATTTTGATCATCAGCTCTGACCTTACAACAGAAAAATCAGATTTTTTCAGGAGTGCATCAGAGAACTGAGATTAAAGGACAAATCACTGCCCTGAATCCTGGAAAGCATAGTAAATTAAAAGAGTACAGACAGAACCACTTCCCTGGATCAGAAGTTGCTGGGGATGGTAATGTAGGACACAGTAATGCAAACAACCTGCAAAGACTGTTGCCTGGCTGTAGCATGAAGGACTCTCAGCAACCCACTCTTCAGATCACTCTCCCCCTCCCCGCCACCACTTTCATGGGACTTACCCACAGAAACTTGCAGAGGAAGGAAAGGTCCACTCCCAGTTCTGACATGGAGAAGGTAACCAATGAAATACCCTACAAAGCATTAGATCCTGTGGGTGGAGGAAAGTTTCTAACTTCCAACTCCTCTAGCCATTCTCTCATTGATCTGAGGCCCACTAAAAGATTAGCACTAACAGAACTTTGGGATAAGAGCAACTATAAGCAAATATTTCAAATGAGAAGAGTTCTTCAAAATATCTAAAAAGGTTGGGATGAAATAAACAAAGACACTAGAGGACTTGATATCTCTGGCATCTACAGCTGTCAGTGAAAGGGAACAATGCATTCAGGGCTAAAGCAACATAAAACTTCATACCAAAGGCCCACTTACCTGAATTCTTATTATTCACCTCACTTTATCATTCAATAGAAAATTATAAGGCATTTACTTTAGGAACTCTTTCCCTGGGTGATATAAACAAAGTTCTACCCATCCACAGGGGCACCAATGACAAAATATAGTGTATTCCACTGAAATCCAATTTAAGGAATCAATGAGGTTTTATGGCTTATTTAGAAAGTGTGGATGAGGTATTATAGGAACATTCGAAGCCTGGAAACAGCCATATTACCAGAAGATCTCCCTTTAGCCAAGATGATGACTTTCCCATACCACATAGATAGAGTGTCCCTTTAGTTAACCTTCTACATACTCCATACTCTAATACCTTCCAAGACCAAGAGGCCATGTGCAATTAGGACAGAACTGTGTACAAATGGCAAACAGGTGTGGAATCTCAGTTGAGGATCCAATAATCCTTCTCCCATCCCATTCTTTTATGAAAGAACATCAGCACACAACAGTCAAAAGTTTGCTCTTTGAGGGCTCTGCCAAGAAATCACCACCACTCTGGTGACGATGCTTGTGTTTGCAGTTAGAGAAGTGCTCAATCTCTCAGCTTCCTGTCCTTGCAACTGTGCCTGTCACCCACTGTCATGCAGCATCACAGTGATGGATTTTTAACCCTTTAGAACCATATGCCAAAAAATCTCTTCTCTAAGTTACCATGATAGGAAGCCAAAATAAAGGCAATTTCAAACTAAAGCAAATGAAAAGGAGTAGAAATAAAAAGTAGAGCACAAATCAATGAAGTTTAAAAGAGAGAAATAGTACAAAAAAAAGATTCTTCAGTAAAGCAATTACAGGGGAAAGACACAAATGACAGGAGCAGAATGAATATAAAAAATAGTCATCAAGGGGCTGGAGCGATGGCTCAGTGGTTAAGAACACTGGCTGCTCTTACAGAGATCCTGAGTTCAATTCCCAGCAACCACATGGTGGCTCACAACCATCTGTAATGAGATCTGGCGCCCTCCTCTGGTGTGTGGACATACATGGAGGCAGAATGTTGTATATATAATAAATAAATAAATAAATAAATCTTTTTAAAAAGTTTTTTAAAAAAGGTCATCAAGCTGACATCATATATATCAAAGAATATATGATCAACCTTATGGCTACAAATTCGGTATCATAGGTGAAATGGACCAAAAGTTTAACATTCATTACCAAATTTTTTGACTCCCAGGGTCTCTACCACCAGCCTTAGACCCAAAAAGCCTCTTGGGTAGTCAGTTCCTCAGGAAGACCCTCAAAATTGAGTCTCTTTGATAAATAGTCAATCTAGGGTTCTTCTTATTCCCTCCAAAAAGTACCAGAATCTTCCTAGTCACAAATACAACTTTCTGAGAAGTTTCATTTTAACTTCAACTGGAGTCCCAGAATGATCCTGTAAACTATGGAATCCAATTTTCTTTGAGCATTGTGGCCATCTAAAGCCATCAGCATTTCTCCTGTCCCAGACACATTTTACCACTCACTTGCCATCATCTTTCTCCTGTCTTTATGCCCAGGCCACCCTTCTGTTTCGCACCCTAATTCAGCCTCCAGTAGCTCCTCTCCTTCCCAACTCTTTCAAATAACCTTTGTAAATCAGATTTCAACTTCAAGAAATGCTTCTTTCAATGTGCCAGTGTCTTCACAGTACTAGACATTCCCTTCTAATTTCAAAAAGATATGACCACTTCTCCTTGCTCAAGACTTTTTCTACATAGATTATAAGGTTACTTTATGCAGTTGTTTGTTTGCATGTATTTAATAAGCATGGGTAAATACACTGAACGCACAGAATTCTCAAGGTAATAACTGACCACTGTTTAGAAGTAACAAACATTGGTGGCAATACTTCATATCCTTAATAAATTTTTCTCTATTTTTATTATAATTGGCAAATGACACCTTAAAATCCAGAGGATTTTTTTTCTTCCTAACATGCAAGAGAAATAACTTACCTCATTTTTCAATTACACAGGGAAATTAATTAAAACATAAATACAATGCAATAGCTACAATATAGTATACTTACAACCTATAAAAATAATACTACAAATGGACTCAGGACATTGCATTTATATATTTATGTATTTATAGATACATAATAATAATAATTTAAAAAGAGACCATAAATTTGAGAGCTAAAGAAAGAAGAAATAGAAATGATTGGAGGGAGGAGAGGGAAGACAGAAATAATATAATTTAACCTGGGGGGGGGCAGTTTTCAAGACAGGGTTTCACTGGGTAGCTCTGCCTGTCCTGGAACTCACTCTGCAGACCAGCTGGCTTCGAACTCACAGAGATACCTGCCTCTGCCTCCCGAGTGCTGGAATTAAAGGTGTGTACCACCACCGTCCAGTCTAAATTTAATTTTTAAAGTTGCAAATAAAAAAATTAAAGAAATGCCAGTAAATGAAGGCTATAAATAAAGCTATATTTGGCAAATAACCAATAAAAAATCATAGTAAATGGTAGCAGAAGGTTTCGGGAGTCAAATTTTTAGATATAATCTGTCCCTACGAGTCATGCTGGCACCAAATCATTTAGCTGATGGTTAACAAGCAGGCTCAGCTATGTAGGGCACTGATGCACAAGAGTAGTTGTGTTCTACCTCACAAATGACTACACTTCATTGAGTTTATGCTCAGTGGAGCACTGTTTGCAAACCACTTAGATTCCAGGATGGAAAGAGCTACGAAAATGAAACATCCAGTCCTTCTCTGAGGTTGTTATTAGCCTCTGTTAGCCACAGGTTACAGGGCACTAAACACTATGTACTGTGTATTTGCTCCTAACCACTAGGAAAAATAGCCTATAACTTCTTACTGAAGACTTCTAGACATTTTACAGTTAATTTAAAATCCAGGCATTTAACTGGGACTTATTTTAGTTCTTGAAACTAGCTCTTATCAAAATATCTTAATTCTTTCTGGAGGTCAGTTCACTTGGTTTCAATGTACACTATCCAATGGACTTTTGCTAAACTTTAATGTTACTAAGAGAAAAAGTGAGGAAGGTAAAATAATCAATTTTATCTAAAGCCTAGTAAACTTCTACCTTTCAAATAAATTTCTTCCTAGATACTAATGTTTAAAAAAAATTACATGCACACAAGAAGTAATGCTCTACAGCTTAATGACCCAGATTTATGGAAGATAAATGAGAAGTGTGTAACATAAATCTATAAATAATGAAAAAGTTAGAAAGCCTCAACCAGAATGCAAAGCAGCATATTAGGTTGGTATCCTAAAAACAGACTGTCATGACAGTATGTGTAAAAAGTTTACGTCTGGTAAAGAGTAACACTCCCCAGATGCTGGCATCCTTGGCTGAGGGATATTATTTACATATATTTTAACCAAACAGCCTAACTGATAAATGTATTTTTATGTATTCTACATATTATTTAGGTTTATAATTTCTGGAGAGCACAAAAAAGTTATTACATTATTATTAACTTATGATAATTTATTTCATCTTCTCAGAATTCCAAGTTTCTTAGGACAAATTTCTCAGAAACACTGTACTACCCTGTTATTTAGCATAGCAGGGTACATGCTTGGTAATAAAACTGTGAATAAGGGGGCTGAAGAGATGGCTCAGTGGTTAAGAGTATTGCCTGCTCTTCCAAAGGTTCTGAGTTCAATTCCCAGCAACCAAAAAATGGCTCACAACCATCTGTAATGATGTCTGGTGCCCTCTTCTGGCCTGCAGACATACACACAGACAGAATATTGTATACGTAATAAATTAATAAATAAATAAACAAACAAATAAATAAATAATGTGGATAAAACATCAGCAAAAGAAAACCTGGTTAACATGTACCATCAAGGTAGAGCTATGCATGGCACATTCTAAGAAGACACCTAACACTCACTTTCTTCTAGGAAATGAAGTTCGTTTCACCAAACCAAAGAATTCTCAAAAAAGTAAAAATAAGAATTTTAGGCAACAGGCCTAGTGACATATGCCTTTAATCTCTGAGTTCAAGACTAGCATGGTCTACAGAGTGAGTTCCAAGACAATCAGAACTACACAGAAAAACCCTGTCTAAGAAAAAAAAAAAAAGAAACCAAAAGCAAACAAAATCCTGAAAGACATATTATACACCCTTACATTTTAAGCAATTATGTAATAATATAAAAGATACGCCGGGCAGTGATGGCACACACCTTTAATCCCAGCACTTGGGAGGCAGAGGCAGGAGGATCTCTGTGATTTCGAGGCCAGTCTGGTCTACAAGAGGTATTTCCAGGACAGGATCCAAAGCCACAGAGTAACTCTGTCTCGAAAAACCAAATAATAATAATAATATAAAAGACACACAAACTTAAGGATATGGTTGCATAATCTTATGCATATAGTAAGTTATAAACCTGAGAATGGGTAGCATATTTTGTGACTTTCACAATACTTACTTTTATATAAAAGTAATACATTTTAAATAATTTATATGATATATTTTACATGATTTAAAGAAAAGAAAATAACAGAATCCAATTCATATACACTATATTGTACAATTTTAAAGCAAAGAAGAAAATAATTAATTTTTATATTATCTGTCCCATGATGCCTAAAGTGCTGTTCTATTTGTCTATCATAAAAGACAGCTCCAAGAGACAAACCCACACAAAGGTGGAAGGTGAGAAAAGAAGACTCCATGAAGTTGTTTTCTGACCTCCACACATCACTATGGCATGTGTATACACAAAAACACAATGAAATTAAAAAAAAAATTAAAGCTGCTCTATGTGACATACTGAGTCAAACATCACTAGAAGAGAGACTGTCTTAATTTTTATTAAAAATAAAAAAGGTATCTGGTCTGTAGATATAGTTTATAGGATAAGGAGAAAAAGATGTGCTACTTTCAAATTCAATTTAGCCATTCTCTTAAGTAAAACAAGTACTGTGGCTTCCGATGTCGCTCCATCCAGCTACTTCTCCTTTGCTTAATATCTATTTTAAACAAAATTAGTTTAATAATAGAGAAAAGGGACTAGTGATACACTTCAGTGGAACAGTGTTTGCCTGATATGTATAAGACTGTAAGATTGATGCTCCAGCACCATAAAGTAAAAAATTTTTAGAAACAATCGCAAAAAGGGACCAAAAAAATATCTAAGCTACAGCTTTAAAAAGTGCATATATATAAACTATCAGGGCATATAATCACAAGTATAAATGTGACACATGAGCAGAATGACTTTACAAATGAAACAAGATAATGCAGAAAGAACAAATTTTAAAGAAAGTTTTAAGAGACAAGTGTAAGTGAAAACACCTGTCTCCAGAACCGTCACAATTCTCAATATTTTGTAGAAAAGTAGATTCCACTTTCCATGGCAACTGATAAGAGTCAAACTGTGTACAGTGGAGTACTGTCGTTATCCTACAGATTCATTTTTTTAACAAAAAATGTAGTTTCACTTAACCAAATTAAGCTTTCCTTTTGTCGTTTGCTTTTTGTTTATTTGGGGCTTTATAGGGACAGGGTTTCTATGTGAAACCTTGGCTGTACTGAAAACTCATTCTATAGATCAGGCTGACCTCAAACTCAGAGATCCACCTGCTTCTGCCTTCCAAGTGTTAGTAGGCATGCACCACCACCATCCAACTCCAAATTATGCTTTCTATACCTAAAACATCAAATTCCAATAAATAACCATGAACATTTAGAAATTACCTTCATATCTCATGATGATGGAGAAGATGCACATTAAAACCAGAATCAAAAGCAAAAATAAAAAGTACATACACAAGTCCTAGGTCAGTGCTCAGTAAGTTCCATGCACTTCTTTACCTGTCTACAAACATGTTACTTCAGCAGACAATGACATAAAAAGCATTACAGCATTCCTAAAGTCTGTCAAAAAAAGAAAAAACAACCCACCAAAGCATTAAAATAGCAACTACTCTTTATGGTATATCTTTAAAATGAAATAATTTCTAAAGTGTGCTGCTAGCACGTATATTTGCTATTTGTATAATTTTATACTAAAACATAAACTATAACCAGACATAGTGGTTCACACCTATAATTTTAGCTCTTGGAAGGTGAGGCAGAAGGGGACTGACATGAATTTGAAGACTGCCTGGACCATATTATGAGAAAGAAAAGACACAAACATAAATCATTCTGTTACAAACTTAAATTTCCAAAAAAGGGCAACTATTCAAATAACATTTCTACATAGATTTTCCTCTAAAAACACGCCATTATTATATTGAACTATTACATTACTCCATACATATAATCCTATCTATTTGTCTGGTAAATAAAGTTTACCAGAGTAAAGTTACATATATTAGTCTGAATTATAAATATTTAGCAAGCCAATACATAGGTCAAAAAGATAGACAGGTATATCTTTTGTTACTTGCAACTTAAAATGAAATACCCCCTTCAATATTTTTTATTCAGTTTACTGATAGTAGTCACATAATCAAATCACTGCATTTTTTCAACTAATGACAGCAAAATTTAGTAAGGTAAGTTTTATGCAAGTTTTAAAGAGATTTCCAATTCCCACCAAATCATTCCAAATGTAGTCTAGAAAAAAATGCAACTAAAGAATTAGCACAAATAAAATCAATCTCTACATATCAGACAAAAATCAGATTAGCAGATCAGGCATGTGCCTTTAATGACAGTACTTGAAAGGTAGAAGCAGGCTGACCTCTGAGTTCCAGGCCAGTCTGGACCAGGCAGAAGTACACAGTGGTATATTGTCTCAAAACAAACCAAAAAAATAAAATAAAATAAAACAAATAAATAAAAAATAATAATAATAGCCAACTCTCAAAAGAGATGGCACTGGCTGCTTTTCCAGAGTACACAGGTTCAATTCCAACCCCCATATAGTAGCTCACAACCATCTGTAATTCTAGTCCCAGAGAATCTGATGCCCTCTTCTGGCCTCCTTAGGTACCACATGCATGTGATGCACAGACTTACATGCAAGCCAAAACAGAAAGTCAAACACATGAAATAAAAATGAAGTACAGCACTCGGGAGGCAGAAGCAGGTGGATCTCTGTGAGTTCGAGACCAGCCTGGTCTACAGAGCTAGTTCCAGGACAGGCTCCAAAGCCACAGAGAAACCCTGTCTCGAAAAACCAAAAAAAAATAAAAAAATAAAGTACAAAGAAAAATTAAAAATCTGTGTGTATAATTTGTACCTGCATGCTTCTGTAAGGAAAGTATTTAAAATATTAGGATAATCATAGAACTCACGTCATACCTGTGCTCCATAGATGTATTTATCCAACATCTTGCCACCTATTGTCTGCCCTCCTATATCCCAAACTTGAAGAGTAACATTCAAATTTCCTAGAATATAAAAATAATATAAAATAGGAATATGAAAGACTAACAATCTAACAACTAAGCACAGTATCACAGAACCCTGAGTAATAATGATAAAATCTAATGTCAACTTGTATTTTATTCTACAAGTTCACATGTCAGATGTTTAAAACTCTAAGCAATGTTGTCAAACAAATGGTGGTAAAAACTCTACCTCTTATTTCTATGGAAACATCTTTATAATTTCACTTAGTATAAAATAAAATTCAGTGGCAGGCATGGTGATGTACTTCTCTAATCCTAGCACTCACAGGAGACTCTCTGTTAGTTGGAGGCCAGCCTGATCTTCAAAGTGTTCTAGGACAGCCAGGGCTACATTGTGAGACCCACTTCAAAAAAGAAAAATGAACTACTGTATGCGTTAATTTAAAAACTTATGCCTTAACAAAATTAAATATTTTCAGATACTAGAACAATATAACGCACATATACATAGAGAAAGAAAAATACTTTTAAAATAAAGATGGAAGTTTTATAACCTACCCAATCACACATGAATTGTGCTGTCAATTGTGTTATGTGTTCTGAAACGCAACAAGTAACAGACTATAAAATTCACCCATAATTTTACCTCAAATGAAGTTTTAATTTGAATGCCAGCTACTACATATAAACACAATAATTGTTTTTATATTATTTAATCTCTTAAATATATATGTTAGAGCTTATGCAAGCCCAAAACAGCATTTACAAACTAATTATATTTTGTACAAAACATGATGACTGAAACAAATGATTATGTGCACTTCAAAGTCTTCATAAATATCCAGTGTTCTTCCCCATTACAAGCATCATAAAGGTATCCAAAAGGACTAAAAGGCAGTCTTTGAAATCAATTTATGCATTTTGCAAAAAACTGACATGAACACAAATTTATTAAGCAAACTCCTCTTTCTTAACAATACAACTAATTATTAAACTATGCAAGTCAAAAACTATGTATCATATATTAGCTGAACATTTTTTCCTCATAAAATTATATTGTTTCCTCCAAAGTCAGAACTGGTACCTTCCGAATGATTCACAAATCAGAAAATTTTGAAATTAAAACTTAGAACTGAAAAAATGATCTCTCCTGGAAAATAAAACAGATTTTAAACTTTAATTTTTAAACCAATGTAAAACACTAAAATCAGAGAATGTCTGTTCCATCATTTGACTACACTGCTGGAAAGAAAGCACAATAGTGAATTAATCACAAAGTTTTACACTTCAGTTTGGTTTGTGTGGACTTGTATTACAAGATTTCCATTATTTGGATGTAGATCTGTTCCATCTGCCACAGTGCAGAGATGTCCAGGAGGAACATCCATTAGCACTAATGAGAGCTACTGAAGTTTATCGCCGTGATCATTGCCACACACACAGCTCCAATGCTATGAGTAATGACAAAAGTGTTCTTAAAGCTCTATGAATTTGAAATACAAATATCACAGATTAAGAATCGGCCAACAGACCATATAAATCTAATTTCTTAGAATTCTAATTTTCGTGAAAACTGAAGCTAAACCAGTCTTTTCAGAAGCCATCTCAAATTAACCAGGTGGGAATATGCTAGCCGTCACTAAAAGCCTGCATCCAACAGGCAAGAGTCTATTCATTTTACTTGCAAAACAGCAGTCCTCGGTTTATAGCAAAAGACAGCGGTCCCCAAAATAATGCTCAAAGCAAGATTTCAGGCTGCGCATTAGTAATTACTAAGAGGTCTTTAATCCCAGTTCCTCAAGGCCCAATAATCCCTACTGCTTAACCTCACAATCAGATATGAAGTTTTTTCCCCTCCCTCCTACTTTTCATTCTGATATCCAGAGCCTCTCTGAATTACACATTATGAATATTTCTGCTATAGCTTCAGGAACACTCTTCAATGTATGCTCCCAAATTCTGGTGCAGTCATTTAAGGACCTAGTTCAAATATGTAATTATTTGCCACCTTGATTTACATTCATGTATTGAAGGTAATTTGCAAATCTTTCTTTCTAAATACATACTTCTTGTTACTAGTTTGCATTTTATTTTTTTAAGATATAACTTTGAATTCCAATAGAATTATTAGTAACACATAACTTTGCTTGCAAAGAACTAGCAAAAAAAATTACTGAGTAATATTGCATAGTTATTTCATATACTTAGAAAAATATTTAACATCTACATTTCAACTTTAGACTTACTAATACACAAAACTGAAAATAAAATAGATATTTTCTATTTTAGGATCAAAATAATGTAAAGCTGTGATTCAAACTTATTTTCATTTAAGTTTTTGTAGGAACACCATATGATAGTAATTATTTTTAATATGACATAATTATAACATATAGAATTATGTTTGGTTAAGCAATGTACTATTTTCTAAAATCAAAAATCCATCTAAACCAGATTTTTAACAAATAAAGAACATTAAACAAATTGTCAGCATTCTAATATCAAATGCAAACTACTATAAAATTCCTGTCCTCTATAGGAAATGACATGAAACCAGAAAAAGTTTAAATGAAGTGGCATTTATATTAAAAGATAAAATAGAGTAAGCTGCATTTGGTATGAGTCAAAGACACCACAGGGATTCAACAGTGACCTTGTATAAGTACACTTAGTGCCTTGGTTAACCTTACTTAGAGTGCTACATAGTCACGATGGAACTCAAAACACAAGACTGCCCACTTCTTGTGCCAAAGACTCAGAAATCCTTTTCACAGTAGAACGCTGTTTACTGGACTGTACCACAGCTTCCTGAAGGTATTTTGACTAAGGCTCTTAAGAAGCTCTATCAGCAGAATCTCTGACTAACAGATACACTATTTTAAGCAGTAAAATCTGCACAGTGGTTGCATCCAGACTATACAGCATACCAGATTGTGAAATACACTAAAATGGATGAGTATCTGCAAAGTAATGATCTTGAAAGCTTACACGAAGAAAATGTGAATAAACACACATAGAGTTTACAGCCCTAACAATGTGACTAAACTTATAACAAATATTAGATTCACACGCTATGCTACATTACCATAAATTCAAGAGATGCTTTCAGTAATGTTTTAGTTAGCAAATGAGAAAACAGTAATCAAACCTTAGACACGACAATGCATTGAAATTAGTTTTAGAGCATGCAAAGAATATATTTTATTATAGAATATTTTATAATTTTAAATATTAAATCAAAATACATGAAATTTTTTTAAAAATGAAATATTTATAAGTTTGAGTTCATTAAGTTGCTAAAACTATCTCCTAAAAAATGTGATTATTTTTCTAAAAATCTGCTCATCAAACTTCATTAGGAAAAGTAAAACATATATTTCTAAAAGCATACATTCCCTAATGCCATTTTTAACCTAAGGTTTTCCTAAGACCAAACATATTAAAAATTTGTATTTTAAAACTATCAACAATATTTTACAAAGTAGTCAATTTTTGAGCTGGTAACTTGTGCAGCAGTTCAGAAATCATCACAAATATCATATAAATAAAATGTCCATTAATTAATGTTTATTAAGTTTTTGTTCCTTTATTTCAGCATTTCAACTAAAAAAAATAAAAATTTGAACAAAATTAATGAGAAAAGTTGGTGCTTTGACTATATAACCATCCCAACAAAATAGCTGATAACAAAGTATTATATTGAGGCTCTCTGTATCCAATAACCAGCATCACTAAGACATACTTGCACAAACCCATTTTCAGTATGCATGCAGCATAACCTATGTGTATATTCTACTATGAATGTGCAGCTAAAATGGTATTTCAATCTTGAATACATAAAAAATATATATAAATAAAACAAAGAACAAACTATACATATGCTTCTCATTAACCCTCTGAATAATAATAGTGAAAATTAATTTTTTTCTCATGTAGCATCACTTAACCCATTTTAAATTGAGATCCAAACATAAACCATCACAAAATATATCAGGGATAATAGTAATGAGATAGAAAGAATATCTCCAATAACCCAAAACTCTATAATTTCCATAGGAAGTTAACAATAGATGGGGCATTTGAGAGAGAAACTAATTCCAATAATACTGAAACTCGTTCACATTTCAGTATAGGAATCTGATATTACAAGGGCAACCACTTAATTTACAGAAAGAAGGGTTATGGTTTATAAAATGAATCAAGATAACTATTTTTAATAAAATATTTGAAACATGTCATTTAATCACTGAAATTGAATGGATACATTTTAAAGCTTTAATTGTTCAGAAACTAACCTAAAACATAAACGACTCTTTTTGTGTTATCATTTCCCTGTATTTCCCACAAAATGTGCCGCAACTGGCATCTAAATAGTTTCTTTGCATGGTGAACTGAAACATCGTGAATGCTCAAACTGTATTTTTATGAGTGCCTAGGGACCCTGAATTTTAGTGGTCTATTAAATGCCAGCAATTTCATGCTGCCTTGCATAAAACAGCATTCACATATTAGAGCACAGAAGTTCCATAGCTACATTATACTTCTGTTCCAAGTTCCAAACAAAAAAAAACTAAAGCAGAAACTAATCAAAATAATATTTTTAAATCCTTCCCAATTTTTTCACATTTAATTAATACAATAGCTGTCAAGAAATGTATAGCATTTAATTTTTGAAAAGCCTTTTGGAATTTTATGAGCAACTATTATTTATACTCAGAAAAGAAAACTGCATAGTTGCCAGTAACAGCAATGGAGGAGAATGTATAAACTTTTTGTTACCCCATGGACAATATATTCTCATACTAATGCTAATGATAGTTAAATTGCTGTACATATTCTTATGAGACTATGTAACCTCACACAGGTAAGGTTTTGAGTTTCATACCTAGAAAGGTTGTCCTGTGAGTGAGACTTATGCAATGTCATAGGTTTTACAGTCTCTCACCTGGTAAGGTAATCCTTCTCAAAAAGAAATCCAGTCCTACAGTCTGCTTGTACTGTTTCCCAAAAGTCTCTTGAGCAAAACACGTAGCTAAGGAGGTCTAAAAAAAAAAATGGATGTACAGAATAGAGAAATTAATTTATTTGCTTAAAAATATAAACATAAGACCATTACAAAGCTTATTAAGTAATCTTAAGATTTATATAGTAATTAATTACCAAACAACCTTCAGTAGCTCTAAATCAGTTAAAAAGGTAGAGAGACACTCTCACCAGGAACACACCACTTGCCTACAACTAGCAGTGGAAACAATAGACTAATCTAATCAGTTAGAGCTCATTAAGTCCCCTGACATCAAGCTCCTCCTTGATGGAAATTAGACCCTGAAAATTCAAAATACAACTAAAGCAACAAGATGATTAAGATCAAAATTTTACAAATTGTTTCAACAAGACTTTCAGAGAACTCTTTAAAGTTTCCTTCTAAGGTTAAATGTCTGAGGATAGTTGGACCATTAGCTAGTAATAAGAAGTACAGATTAGGGAAGAGAAAGCTACTTGTAAAACCTTTCAGTTTTCCTATAAGAAACATTGTGTTCATTTTTCTCTATACTTAGAGAGTAAAATAATTATACAGAATTGTCATGATAATATGTACAATTTAAATAAAAAGTTAGTATTATGAGATTAGCAGGAAGCAGGCAAAATATTATTCTCTATCTAAAACAGTGCTACAAAGTCACAGGTAGTATAACTCCAGGGCTTTCTTTAGAGAGCCATTTCTTATCAGCACACAAAATACTTCTAGTAACAACTAAAATAACTCCAAACTCAAAAGGAAATGTTTCGAATGCACACTCTTACTCGAAAGTCTACCCCAAAGGAGAAAAAGGAAGCTCCACTAAGCTTTAAGCTTCAAGGCAGGCTATCAGACGAGAGAGAGAGAGAGAGAGAGAGAGAGAGAGAGAGAGAGAGAGAGAGAGAGAGAGAGAGAGAAACAAAACTTGTTTTATTTTAAAAGTTAAAGTTTGAAGTCAACTAGTAAAATAACAAAAGCCAGAATAAAGTTCCCAAGATAGCACATTATAATTAACTGTGAAAAGAGAACAGAAGTTCTAAATAATACGTGGTCATATTTCAAGTACTTTTAGCAAGGTGAGTTAAATTTCTTTAATACAAGGACCATATTTTTCCCACAAAGGACAATTTGCAGACGCTAACTCCAAACTCTTTAATATTCCAATAATGTAATTACAATAAATGTCTAAGATTTTGCATCAAATATTGATTAATCAATCCCATATGTAAGACATTCAACCAGACGTTTATAAATAAACTCACTATGTTTTCATTGAAGTATGTAGCAGTAACAAAATGAAAAACCAGAATAAAAGAGGTAAGTATTTGTTTTTTAAAGATCTTTTGGTTTTCAGTCAAGTTTAATTATTCCATTGAGCCTGGTGCTCAGAGGTCTAGAGAAAAATACCATTACCTACAGTACTGCAAGTATCTCAAATGTTTCACATATGAATGGTTAAATATTTAAAAGCCAAGGAAAAACAAGGCACATGTAACAGCATAATTTTATTTGAAGTATTTTTCACCTTCATTTAAGATTAAGAAATTTTATGATTTTTATATTCATTAACATTCAGAAATGGACGCAAGTGCAAGCGGGAAAGCACAAAGCCAGGGAACGAAAATAACAAAGCAAATTTTATTTGAAAAATGAAATAATGAAAACTAATACTTCGTTTACTAATAAAATATATATTTGGAAAATTTTGAGTAAAGTTCTTTCCTTGAGAACAAAATTTCCAGATTTAAAAGCCCTGCCTTCAGATAAAAAATCTGAGGCAAACATAAAGCCCCAAAATCACATGATTTTGAAGTTGAAAATAACAAACTAGGTTATGAGCCATATATAGTGTTCATGTAGGTTCTCAAACCGCCTCACATTCTGCTACAAGGATCGACTGGATCTGTGGGAGGCACTTCCTTCCTCTCCAGTTCTTTACCCTCACTGCCATTACTCATATTCAGTGACTTGCCACGACACTGCATAAATACTCTTCTTAAAGTGAACAACCGGCTACCATAGCTGAGACATTTTTATTTCATTACTGATGTACATACATATAGGGTATTTGTGTTGATTTTGGAAATATTTTTTAGCCAAACTATATAATTACTAACACTGAGATAGCGCTGTATTTATTATGATACCAAAAAGAAAGCTTGCTTCAAAAAATCTTAAGAAAATTGAAAATATGAAACAGACCAGGAAAGACAAAAAATAACAACACATGATACTAGACGGACATAGTAAACATCTTTTCCAGAAACTGTTATTTTCCCAATGCTGTTCTTTCTTGCTTCTGCCTGTGGCTACAAAAATACTGATAGTTCAAACATTAGAAAAATGTTGAAGAGTTAAACAGGATACAAATAAGAATGAAAACGAGGCTGAGTTTCATAAAAGAAAGGACAGTTAAACAATGAGAATGGTGGTGTCAATAATCTTAGAGCTGAACAGATCCCCAGGCAGAGTTCAGCAGCTCATTTCAGAAAGTATAGCAGGACAGAGAAAAGCTATGACATTCTAATCCAGAGGACAAAGACTGAGGCAGAGCACCATAAAAGAAGACCACTCACTCCTCAATGCAGAATGATAACCCTAACCCAACCATACAGAGGCGGGGAAATAATTGCTCAACACTGGACAGAACTTTAAACAAGTAAAAACTAATTACAGTAAACTAGCAACAAAGGCGAAATAAAGTTATGACTGGCTAAATTTTTAAAATATAGATATAATACTATGAGTAAATTTCAGCATTTATTAAATATTGGGATACAAATAATCAAAACCTTAAAGACACGACCAAATATTAACTATTTTTATTGGAGGAGGTATATTTAAATTTTAAATACAAAAATAAATAAAATATGTTGACTTACTGGGTAATTTGGGGGTCTTTTAGATAATGTACTAGTATTATGAAGTGTCATGGTTTTAAATGTAAAAAAGTAAGCTCGGTTGTTCAATAGAATGCAACTGAGTTTATGAGGTAAAATCACAAGGTGGCCTTCAAAAAAAAGCTAAGAATGAAATCCATAAAATAATCTTTTTGCTGAAAGTTTAGAAACAATGCTGATTTACAACAATTTGCTTTTTCAAAAAGCTTAAGCGTACAATATTTCATACACTTCCTAAAGAAAAGCAGCCAAGTTCTGTTCTTTGCACAAAAATATGATCACGTTGAACTGTTTTATTCGAGGTAGTGCTCTACAGCAAAGTATCCTGGGAAAACAAGAACGGGATTAAGACTCCAAAATTTTGCAGAAGAATTAAACATTCCGCAGCGGCCCTAGGAACCCAAATTTCAGCACCAAAGCTCGAAAGCATATGCCTAGTTTCCTTCCGGGAATGATGCAAAAGCCGTCGCCACAGAAACCAGGTCCAACGACACCAGTGACTGATGCGGGAGGGAGGTTTTCTATGAGGAGTCTGGCTGCGCAGAAGAACTAACTTTAACTATCTTCCCCAAGAGTGTCGTGGTTTCAACTGGAGCGACTGCTGGGAGGGTGCCCAGACAAGGGTGCATCGCTTTATTTGGTAAACACCAGCCCTCGATGACGCCTAGAGACCCTCTCTGTACCGAGCACCACCAGGCAAAGAGACAATGTTTATCCCATTCCAGGAGTTCCCAACTTCTGGTGGTGAACTCCAGCCTAGGAGACAGGGGACTAACTGCCTGCGGGTATTCTCCCGCACGAGCCCATTCATTCCTGCAACCAACGGTCGCAGAAGGCTAGGTTAAGAAGGCAGGGGTCCTCGCGACCCCCGGCACCCCGCCCACCACGGGAGCTCGGGGAACACCCATTGAATGAACTGACAGGTGCCAAGGGCAGAACTGGAGTGAGATGGGACCCTGAAAGGGCAGCTACGGTGTACGGAGCGCGCTCGGCCTGCGCATCGTCACGGTCTGTGTCTGTTTTTGCAGTGGCCCACCCCAGGAGCGGGTCAAGCCTGGCGGGCGGACGTCGGGCACGCGCGCAGGGCGCAGGCGCGAGGAAGGCCGCGGCCCAAGGCGTGCCAGGCCAAGTCGGCGGGACCGCTGAGCAGGAGGCGGCGCTGGACAGCGCTCGGCTTCCCCACGGGCCCGCCCGGCCTGGCCGCGCCGTGGATCCTGCAGCCCAGGTCGCCGGGTTTGCCCGAGGACTGACCTTCCCGGAGGTGCCGTCCCCCAGCACGACGATTTTCAGTTGCCGGTCCTGGCTCTCCTCCTCAGAGTCTGACATGGTGTCCGGGGATGCTGGCCCGCCTCCAAGTTGGAGGAAGGAAAGGAGGAGGCCTCCGGGGGCGGGGGAGAGACGGCCAGCAGGCAGGACGAGCGGGACCCCCGCCCCGGCGTCTCCTCAAGCCTGAAGGAACCCAGGCAGAATCACTCACCGACCGCCATCTTGCCCTCCTCCCCTCCCCCGCGGGGCTCCGCCCCCATAAAGCCCCTCCCCCCGTGCGTCACTCGCATTACGCCCCGCCCCCGATCCGACCACCAGGCTGCGAATGGGGGGTAGAACGGGAAATGCAGGCTGGGTGTCGCGGTGTAGTCGCGGGAGACATTGGCTAGGATACAAAAGCAGCATGTCTTCCGAGATATGTGGATCCACATTGGAGAAGAGTAGCTGTCAGACGTTCTGCTCTCTGTCCTTTTTTTCTGATAACATAACTTACGTGAATCATTTAGTCCAAGGGGGCGGGGTCATGGTGCGGCTCGGTTGCCACGGAAGCCAGGAATCTAGGAGCCGCGGAGGGGCGGGGTCTGTCTCTGGGCAGCGAGGGACGCTTTGGGCTGCGCGCGCACAGGATCCATCCAGCCGGTGAGGTTGAGCCTAGGCCAGGTGGTTGGCAGTCCAGTGGAGCAGAAGGAGGTTGCTAAGGCCTTAAAGGAAAGAGAAGACGTGAAGTTGTCGCTTTGGAGTGTCCTGGGGCTCTGGTGCTGGGTCCTAGTTTAACCTCTCACAGGCAGACTGCAAAGTTCATCAGTAAAGCAGAACTGAGGGAACTGATTACCATCCTGCTGGCCACACAATCTTCACCTTCAGGCTGCAAGACCCAGAGTATGGTCCAGAGAACTCTGGGGTTCCCGTGAAGTCAAAACATAGCACGATCAGCGAGCACTCTTTGCCTTTGTCACCTTCAGAATCTCACAAGTGCAGTTTGCTGGAGGAAAACTCTTGCGTATGAAGTTCCCTAGGTCAATGCTGCTATATAAAATGAAACTTCAGTTGTGTTATCTTATAACAGTATTTTTAAAATCTGTGACAAATTGAGAGGGTTTAAATGAGAGTTTGAAAACTTTTCCTTTTTTTTTTTTTTTTTTTTTTTGGTTTTTCGAGACAGGGTTTCTCTGTGGCTTTGGAGCCTGTCCTGGAGCTAGCTCAGTAGACCAGGCTGGTCTCGAGCTCACAGAGATCCGCCTGCCTCTGCCTCCCGAGTGCTGGGATTAAAGGCATGCGCCACCATCGCCCGGCGAGAGTTTGAAAACTTAAAGCCATTTTTTTTGTAATGTAAAAAGAGTAAAGATCTTCTTCTTGTATGGACACCTATTAGCCCTGAACACTACCAAGAAACAATCTAAAGAAAAATAGAACTAATCCACAAAATATAAAAATATCATCATGGATGCTCAGATACAGTACTCATGACAGGATCACATACTAGACCCCTTCAAAAAATAAGTCAAATTTTGAGAAGAATCCCAGGCATTTTATGAAATCAGGGATTTTTACAACTAGAACACAGACTTTAATGCATCTTTTCAGGCTTGTACAAACTCAATTTTAACACTGCCACATACAAGGAGTGTGTTTATTCATGAAACACCTAGATTACGGAGGGGCAAGACCTAGTCCATAGAATAATCTCTCCAGTTGTCTCACTGAAATTCCAACTAACTATATCCTAATGCCGTGACTGCATCATACATGCGTTCTTAAATCACAAACTCCCCACTCTAAAGATATTTAAGGTGACTCAATAATGTTTAATTGGTCAAGTATTAGTGAATGTTATTTTCTTCACAACTCTTGTAAGCACGGAGGGCACCGAAGTGACCAAACCCATGAGCACGCCGTCCCTTGCAACTTAGTCTGAAGGAAAAGTCTAGTAGGCTACAGAATGGTCAGATAACGTTGCCGGGGCCTCCTCAGCAAATATTAATCTGTTTAGAAGAAGCAAACTTCAACTATGATTGAATGAAAGATCTTGTGACGAGAAGACTACCTGGTAGGATTTCAATTCGTCCCCATATGTCCTTATAAGGGAAAAGTGGACTCTGCATTGGCTCAGACCAAAAAGGCAATATAACCATGAAAACAGAGATGGTAGTGATGCAGCCACAAACCAAGGAATGCCAGTGGCCAGGAGAAGCTGGCAAGGATAGAGAACAAATTCTCTTCTGGAGCCTTCAGAGGGAACACATTACCCACACCTCAAGTTTAGTCCAGTGGCACTGATTTAAAACTTACGTCCCCACAACTTCAAAAAGATTTGTTAGTTTCAACTAGCAAGTTTATGGTAATTTGCTATAGCAGTTACAAGAAGCTCATACAAAAGGAGACACTGATAGTCAATAACAAGAACTTTTCAGATGGGTTAAAAAATAATAAGATAACTTATGGATAGGTAATGCAAGAATACTCAAATATTTCAACATCACTAGTAAAGGTAAAATAATTTTTAGAAAGTAGTGTCCTGTTATACTCTTTTTCTTTTTTAAATTTTTAGAGAAGGCCTCATTAATTTACCCTTGGATGTCCTGGAACTCACTTTTTTTACAGGTCATGTTGGCCTTGAACTCAGAGAGCTCCATCTGCCTTGTCTCCCACATGCTAGGATAAAGGAAGTACCTTCTTTCTGAACTTCTGCTATATTCTGAACAACCTAATAGTCATGATTGCAATTTGAAGCTGAAATATTTCCCAGAAGCTCAAGTGCTTGCTCTCAAGCTCATAGTTATTTTGAAAGCTGTGGAGCCTTCAGAAGATGAGACCAGGCTGGAAGAAGTAGGACTTGAGGGCAGGCCTTTGAATGTTATACTTAAACCCTGACGTGATCTATGTTTTGAGGAGACTCCTCAATGTGCTCCCTCCACCGTGAATGTCCCCATGCCTTTCCTGCCATGATGGATGAAGATCCTCTTCAACCGTGAGCCAAAATAAATATTCCTTTCAGTATATTGCTTCCCTTAGGCATCCTCTAATATAGCTGTAGTTGCCAAAAACTTTCCTTCCTCTTTTTTAAACATTTCATAGTTTGAAAGATGTACCTCCCATGATTAAAGTCCACAAAAATATTGTTTTGGAGAAAATGAGAAAACATTGTTGTGTGAGGCAAAATAATGACCACATTCCTGACTTGTATACTCTGAATCTCTGCCGTAAACATAAGAAAAACATAGAATCTAGAGATAGAACTCAGCTGGTAGAGTTCTTGCCCCTTATAAACGAAGCTTTGGGTTCAATCTCCAATATCACATAAACCAGACATGGTGTCATAGATGTGATCCCAGCACTCAGAAGTAGAGATGACAATCAGAAGTTCACCATTATTCTCACCTTACATGATTAAACATTATACATATTACAGGCAAAAAAATAAGTTGTCACCAGAACCCACATACATTAATACTCAAGCAACTTGTTATAGATTGACAAAGTAAGCAAGCAAAGTATTCTTCTTGGCCAGTTCTTTTGTTGAAAGGCTGCATACTATGTTTAAAAGAAAGAATCACTTTATTACTATTTTGTAAGGTAATCTTATAAAGAATCTTAAAGGAATCACAAAAAAATAACTTTTACACATAAAAACAGTCGTCTCTATTTTAGAGTTCATACCTACTCATCAATAGATTTTTATATCAGGAAATTGAAGGCAAAAATGGGTATAAGGAATTAATCATTTTTAATGACTAATCAACTTTAGTCATCAACCAGTCCTAGCAAGAAAGTTACATCAGCTAATGAGTATCAGTTGTTTTGTTCTTTTTCCCTGACCTTAAAAGGTTCCTCACTCAATAGCTATAGTTATAAATGGTGCCTTTTTAAAACTTTAGATTGTCTTCTTGGGTTTTTTCACCTCAAAGCTATTTAACAAAAACATCTAATTTAACCTTGAGTTGTTTTAAAGCTTTGCTTTGGCAATGATGCACTCCAAAACCTGTGAACACACCTCCTAACACTGAGATGAAAAGAATTCAAGCCAGCCTGGCTCCTGAAACTCAACTGTTTTCCCTAACCATTGACCTGAACTTCAATCTATGCAGCTCCTTAGATAAAACTCAGGCCCTAGCTGTATGACACTTTCTTGTATTTTTTTCAATCATCAAAATTCTATTTAAACTAACATTATTATTATCAATTAGACAGTATACCTTAGGAAGAAATTATCTTCAAAATAATTCACAGATGAAAACACCCAGTAGAATGGAATATTTAAATGAGATAAATATACTTCACTACAGGTAATGGGGATCTTTCCACACCCATTCCCACCATACCAAATACCAGAGAAAGAAGGCACAGAAGAAACATAAGACATTCTGGAGTCTGTGGTCTTGGGACCTATCTGAGATTCACCTGTCAGGGATCTTCCTCCTGGTGGGCGCATAACTTGAAGTCAATTGCTCCTCTGACATGGCCACCGGCAGTGACCTCTACTGATACATCAATATTCACATATACAAATTGTTTTGTTTACCTTCATAAAGTGTCACTTCTACATAATTGTATTTACCTAGTTTTCAGTGAAAACTTCCCTAACTCTCACATTAGCAAAGTCATGCTAAATTCACCTGGAAGGAAAAATATAGAAGAACAACTAAGTAAGGAGTCAGGGTGAACTTTGAGCCACAAATGAGCAACACAACTTTTGGTGACACCATTTATAACTATAGCTATTAACATTCAACACCTAGGAGTTAGTCTTAAATATGTGAGCTAATCAGCGTCTTATGCTTCCAATCCCAGCACACAGAAGAAAGATATAAGAAGCTCAAGAGAAGGGATGGAGAGATGGCTAAGGGGATAAGAGTATTGCCTGCTCTTCCAAAGGTCCTGAGTTCAATTCCCAGCAACCACATGGTGGCTCACAACCATCTGTCATGAGGTCTGATGCCCTCTTCTGGCCTGCAGGCAAACACACAGACAGAATATTGTATAAATAAATAAATAAATAATTTTTTTTAAAAAAAAATAAGCTCAAGAGATCAGGGTCAGCCTGGATTTAGAACATGAGCTAAACTATGGAACTGTGTTAGCTACATTTTTAGATCTGTGATAAAACAACATGACCAAGGTAAACTGAAAAAAAGATTCTAATTGGACTAACAGTTCCAGAAAGTTAGCATTTATGATGGCTGAACAAGTACATAGGATTAATGATTGGAGCAGCAACTAAAAACTTATATCTAGATCCATAAGCA